GAGTAGAGTAGAGTAGAGTAGAGTAGAGTAGAGTAGAGTAGAGTAGAGTAAAGAGAGGAGAGGAGAATAAAAACAGGCTGGAAGGGACCTTGGAGGTCCTCTAGTCCAGCCCCCTGCTCAGGCAGGAGAAGCTATACTATTTCAGAGGCTGTCTAGACTCTTTTTAAAATTTCATTTCATTAAATTTCATTAAAATTTTATAAAAGTTCCAATATTTGAGGGGCTGCCCCAGAGAAAAGGAAGGGGTCAAGCTATTCTCCAAAGCACCTGAAGGCCAGACAAGGAACAATGGATGGAAACTGATCAAGAAGAGATTCAACCTGAAAATAAGGAGAAATTTTCTGACACTGAGTACAACCAACCCATGGAACAGAAGTTGCCCTCGGAAGTTGTGGAAACTTCATCCCTGGAGGCTTTCAAGAAGAGACTGGACTGCCATCTGTCAGAAATGGTGTAGGGTCTCCTGCTTGGGCGGGGTGGGGTTGGACTAGATGACCTACAAGATCCCTTCCAACTCTGTTAATCTAATCTAAATACATCCAGTGATGGAACGACCATGATTTCTGGTGGCCAGCTGTTCCACTGGTTAATTGTCCTCCCTGTTAGGAAGTTTCTCCTTATTCCAGGTTGCTTCTCTCCTTGATTAGTTTCCATCCATCGTTTCTTGTCCTGTGCTTTGGAGGATAATTTGACCCCCTCATTTTTGGGGCACACCCTACTGAAATATTGCTCTCATGTCCCCCCCCCCAGCTCTTCTTTTCTCTAGATTCGCCAAACCCAAACCCTGCAGCCTATTCTTCCTATGTTTTAGTCTCCAGACCTTTGATCCTCTTAGTTGCTCTTCTCTGAACTTTTTCCAAAGTCCCAACATATTCTTTTGTAGTATGGTGACCAGAACTGATTGCGGTATTCCAGCTGTGGCCTTAGTAGGGCTTTATAAAGAAAGCGGTGCTAATACTTTACCTGAACTTGATTCTGTGCTTTTATCTTCCTTTATCCTCAGCAACAGCAATTCTGCTTCCAACGGCCTTGGTAAACCCAGGACCAGCAGTAAATGGATGTTGGAAGAGCTGGTTGGTTGCACACCACAGATGAAAATGGTGCTTTGAATTTGCCGTGTCAATTTCAGGATATGAGGAGCCAGACGGTTGCGGGGCAAGAGGCTGACTCTGTAAACCGCTTATAGAGGGTTGGAAAGCACTGTGGAGCGGTATAAGTCTAAGTGATATTGCTTGGGAAGGAAGGAAGGAAGGAAGGAAGGAAGGACGAAGAAAGGAAGGAAGGATGGAAGGAAGGAAGCCATGGTGGTGCTGTGGTTAGAGTGCTGTATTGCAGGCTAATTCTGCCCACAGCCAGGAAGTTCGATCCTGACCGGCTCAAAGTTGACTCAGCCTTCTGTCCTTCCGAGGTTGGTAAAACGAGGACCCAGATTGTTGGGGGGCAAGAGGCTGACTCTGTAAACTGCTTAGAGAGGGCTGTGAAACACTGTGAAGTGGTGTATAAGTGCTATTGCTTGGGAGGGAGGGAGGGAGGGAAGGAAGGAAGGAAGAAAGGAAGGAAGGAAGGAAGGAAGGAAAAGGAAAAGGAAAGGAAAGGA